CTGTAGTGATGATTAATTAATTCACCTATCTGATATTTAGCTTTTTAATGTCTATAATGACATGAATAAGCAACATCAAGGATGGAAGTCAGGCTAAGTCTTTAAAAAGCAACAACAAAGAGCAAATACTCACGCTGTGGCACCTCCAGGGGATGTCCTGTGACATCGCACCACCTCACTGGGTGGAGGTCAGGGCTGTCTGCCTCTACCCAGTAGTCATACTTGTGGTCCCAACCATCAAAATGAACCTGTCAAAATGAGTTTTGAATAATTAGTATTTAGTGACTAGTATTTCACTATCTTTGTATCAAAATGTTTGAAAACAGATCTCTGAAGTTGAGATGGAAATTTTGTTAATGAAACAATACTTAAAATGTGCTATTCTATAACCTTCTAATCTAGACACCAAAGGCCATTGTACCAATTTTTCAAAGAAATGAAAGAGGTTGGTAAATAAAAAATTTGTCAGGGATTGATTAAAATTTAAAGGGATAAGACCAATCCATTTTCTCAACTAAGATAAATCCTATAATATTGTTGAGAGGATGCTTCCTGTCCTGGGCAAGTGTCCTGGTAGCCACTGCAAGAACCATGTCAGCAACGTCAACAATAGGAGTCACCAAGCTGACATCAAGGCAAGTTTTATACTAAGGAAAAATTCATGGATTCGAGTGTAAAGAAGCAATAAATTCCTAAATTCTCACAAGTGAGAGAGAGAGAGACACATAGGAACAATGAAGCAAACAAAATATGCTACTGGGGTAGACGGATTTTAATAGCTACCTTAATAGCTACTGAAGGACAAAGTGTAAACTATCAGGAAATCTTCCATGGAAGAGGTAGGGCCCAGGTCCAGAAGTCCTACTGGTAGAGGCTCAAACAAGGATAATTTATCTCTGTTTTGTATCTTATCTACAAAACACACACACACATACACACACCCCATGACATATATGTACAAGTCTAAGAATAAAGTCTAATTTCAGAAACAAAAATAACATACTTATTTCTTAAATATAACAAATGCCATGTTCTGGAAATTTCATATCTGGATAAAAAAGTCAATTTTATTTATGCAGGAAAAAAACTAAAAAGTTCATTATTATTAAATAACTCTACTTATTCTCTTACATATTTTCAGGTTTTGATTATGAATTAAACAGAGAATCTATCCTTTTCACTGCAAAAAACCCCTCATAATTAAAAAAAAATCATACTTTGAGTAAAAAGAGCAAGATGCCTCACACTATAATAAACCAACTGAAATATAAATCTATTGTGTGGGACATAGGACCAAAAAAAAGCCAACTTTTATCTACTAAGTCCAAAATAAAGTCCCAATTTTTTTTTTTTTTTTTGACAGAGGGTCTTGCTCTGTCTCCCAGGTTAGAGTGTGGTGGTGTCATCATAGCTCACAGCAACCTTAA